AATTTTAACGCTACCTTGCATCCTTATATATGATCTGGTTTAACGCTACCTTGCATCCTTATATATGATCTGGTTTTTTTTATTTGACATTTGTGCAGTTCCAGTACCCCATCAAAATATCGCAATACCTTTATTATAATGTCCTTTTTGAAAGTCTCTTCCCCTCTACATAAATATGTAATGTCATCCGAAGGTAATTGGTTTTGTGGATATTACACTAACATACACAATAAAAATGTAATTCCATTAGCTTCGCGTCGGCACTAATGGACGGAACAACATCAACAGGGTTTCTTATAAACGTGGGAAACCATTTATTAAACTACTTCGATTAATAAAGTATTTGCTAGCTCATTTGTCTTTTTCAACTTTTTATGAAAAGTAAGATTGGACACTTTCGTTGACAATTAACCAGATCAGATTATTCCAGGTGTTAGAGGTCACTACGTGATTCATTTCCGTTAACATCCTGGTTTCGATACTCTCTACGTGGTATAATTATATTTATTTAATCCCTACTTTTAACAAGCGTTCTTCCCACGAGTATGTTATGATTTCCAATTAGTGGCCCAAAAACGAAACGTGTAATAGTTATCGCACTAGACAAGTGGTCCTCAAACTTTTCAGACTCGCTTAACATTTTTTTAAACTTTTTTTAAAGTAAAAACCAGGCCTAATCTAAAAACAAAACACGAAAAATCTAGTAGGGAAAAACTCATGTTTTAAATATTTACCCATTAAATGGAAGGATGTGTTTGTGGTGAGAGTTTTGTCAACTTGAAGGGAATAAAATACTCTGCAGGCATAGGGCGAGACTAGAAGTGAGGAAAGTAGCGTGAATAAAATATTCTACAGGCATAGGGCGAGACTAGAAGTGAGGAAAGTAGCGTGAATAAAATACTCTTCAGGCATAGGGCGAAACTAGAAGTGAGGAAAGTAGCGTGAATAAAATATTCTACAGGCATAGGGCGAGACTAGAAGTGAGGAAAGTAGCGTAAATAAAATATTCTACAGGCATAGGGCGAGACTAGAAGTGAGGAAAGTAGCGTGAATAAAATACTCTGCAGGCATAGAGCGAGACTAGAAGTGAGGAAAGTAGCGTGAATAAAATACTCTGCAGGCATAGGGCGAGACTAGAAGTGAGGAAAGTAGCGTGAATAAAATATTCTACAGCCATAGTGCGAGACTAGAAGTGAGGAACGTAGCGTGAATAAAATATTCTACAGGCATAGGGCGAGACTAGAAGTGAGGAAAGTAGCGTGTACATGGGAAGCTCAAATTGAGCTTATTACAAATTCTGTAATTTTAACATTAATTTTATCGAGTTCCACCATTATCTCGACGTACCACAGATTTAGAATCATTACATTAGACTGTTGTGATGTGTTTCGAAGTGACTATGATTATAATAGATGTTTTACTTAGAAAACATGCATGAAAAAACACACATTTGATCTTAGAAAAGTATCTGAGAATCAAAAGAATTTCCAACAGTAATTTGTTTTCTCCTTCACTGAAAAGAATGTTTTGAGACAACCTTATATGCCAGAGTGAAAGTATTAGCGTTGTTGCCCTCCTTAAGTTCTGAAAAAATATATAATTCGGTTTCCGAAAAAAGCGAAACCCAGGAGGTTTCGACTACACAACCGTTGACAGACAAATGCTTTATTAAAAGCGCAATTTCGTAAAGTGAACAGATTCGAACGCATTCCGCTCGTTCGATTTGGAACAGGAACAAATTTTGCCTTTATCGTTAAATCGCGTGGCTCGATTTCTGTTCTAGCATCATGGCCGTCAGTGATTTGAGGATGTTGTTATTGTGAAAAACGAAGTATCAGACAGTATTCATATTGATTAAATCAATCTGAAAATGTGCTTCCTAATTAAAAATGTTAATTATCTTTACCACGTCCTTCCATATCTTAATTAATTTTTTAATTCGAAATTGGGTTTATTGTATTTGCCAGTATTGCAAGTACAGCTTGCCGTAATACCAAAACGTCGAAGACCTGCTGAAAACCGCTTTGAAGGACCACTTGAGGGCTGATTCGACCAGACGTTAATGTTTGAACGAACAAGCAAAACACGTTAGGAGGTGAAACCGTTCTGCCAATTCATTTTTTTTAGTTCTACTTGTTCTCACGAAATCACTCTTTAAATAAGCTACCACGTCTTGAATAGCTCTAACTTCCAGTTATGATTTATTTAGATAAAACTTCGGCCTCCTCAGGATCAACTGACTCTCTTAGATGTTCTAAAAATGTGACAGATTCCAGGTAGAAGCTGACATTCTTTATAACAATCAGTTATGGTTAGCTTTCAACTATAAACAGAGAGAACACGTGGCTTTGTATTTCAGTGTATGCTTATATCTTTAATTAGATAATAGAAGTATTACGTGTTATTACGAATACCTCTGTAGTGATAACTTGTGTAATTATATAAGGTTGTCAAAAGTTTTAATTTATGTGTACAAGTACGATTGTACGTACAGAATTATAGTCTCTGGTAATGCATATAAAACAGGTATATAGATATAAACGAACAAAGACATGATATCCCAATAGCATACACGAAATAAGGTTAAAAGAAACAAGACGAGAAATTGACATGTCCATTTTCTGTTTTGTATTACACACCCTAAGTGAAGGGCAGATTATTATTAAAGGATTAAGCGTGTTATCTGCATGAATTACATGTCGTAATAATGTATTTATTTTTTATTCAGTAAAGCCACACTATACGGGTAAGAGTAGGTTAAAAACTTCATTTCCGAAATTGTGTAGTTTAGTTAAAATTGTTACCACCTCATCATTTAGTTTTACCATTATACAAAATGATATTTTTAGTGTTGTTGTGTTTGTATTTACTGAACATTGTAATACTTTTTTTTTCTACTGCTCGTTGTTAAACATCTCAAGTACAGTTATATTATTTCAGGTGTAACAACATGAATAATTCATACTATAATACATTTCCTATTTCTAGTCATATATATTTATTTATCTATTGGACACTAGTCCGTCTCTACATTTAGTTTTACTTCATTTAATTAGACAATGCATATCAACATTAACAGGTCATATTTTCTGAAGTGTGTAATTAATTAAGCTATAGCTAATTCGATATTTTTTTCACGTATAGAACAAAGTTAAGAAGTGAAATTGAGAAACTGTTATTTCAAAATTATTTTCTACGTTTTCATAATTACTTAGAAATTTAAAATAATAATATAAACATGAAATTAAAAGTACGTGCACTACACAGCTTCAAATCTCTCATCACTTAACACACGCCAGTCATCAGGAGAGATTTTTAATCCTGTTTCTTAAAGTTTACTTGTTGATGATGTCAGTGCTACAATCAGGGCATTTTAAGATAAACTAAAGTTAACACATGAATGTGCTATTTCATTTTTTGGTCTGTCATCACAAAACTATCTATCCGAATGAATAATAGCACACCTAATTAGAATTTTATATAATAACCTAAGTGTTTTTTATATATTGTATAGCCATTGATTTTGTAAAAAATGGTATACTGGTACATTTCTGATATACTGAATTAAGAGCGTTTGAATTTTATTTGTTACGTTTCTTACACAGTTCCTCTTTTTTTTACCTATCTCAGGAATGATCACACTTTCTTACTGTTTAGACTATTTAAGTAATTAAGACAGGCAATTTATTGTTATTTATAGTTTTTTATGCATAATATATCATATACCATCATATACAAATGTTGCTTAAAACATTACTTTGGCTTTATAATAGAAGTAAGCGTTCTTTACAAATAATGATAACTTTCAGTTTTCCATCCTTTTCTCAGGTTCCCATATTTTCCTATACTTTTATGGCTTATAAATTAGTCACTTTGAAATTGAGTAAAATATTTAAATCAATTAAAAAAACATCATATACTTTTTATTATTTCTTAAAATAATGCGTCATTCTAATTCTTACACCATTGTCTGTTTTTCTAAAGAATAGGTAAGCTTATTTAGTTCTCTAAATGAGTGTTATACGTGTTAACAAATTTGAAATATAAAATGTTGAAAAAACAAGTGGAAAAATTATAAAGCTTATTATTTGTTTTGGTTCAGACAGAAAAGATACAACGAAATGAGATATGTCATACCAAAGTAGGTTTATGAAATATATATATATATATATATATATATATATATATAATAGTAAATGGAATATACGTTGTACAGATGTATACATGGGATACAAGAATTCTTAAGTTATTAGGTTGAGAATCATAATTCAGCTAAAACGTGTATATATATACATTTGAATGAATATATATAATGTAATAATTTGATGTTCGTGTATAATTTGGATTCTGCTTTTGTGAAACTTGACTACCAATAAGAAAAGCAGCGAGTGTATATTTGTGTTTGTTATTAAAGCATATGTAAATTAATATTGTGCTCATGGCCTGTTTAATTGTATTTCAGTACGTTTTCAATAGTTTTTAATGAACATTTGTGAGAATGAAATAGAAACGTTATACATATACACGTATCTAAACGACTTCCAATGTAACATATCTAAACAACTTTCAATGTAACAACATATCTAAACGACATTCAATGTAACAACGTATCGAAACAACTTTCAATGTAACACCGTATCTAAATGACTTCATACTTTCAAACTTTAATGTAACAACGTATCTAAACGACTTCCAATGTAACAACATATCTAAACGACTCCCAATGTAACAACGTATCTAAACGACTTCTTCCTTCCAATGTAACAACGTATCTAAACGACTTCTTCCTTCCAATGTAACAACGTATCTAAACGACTTCATACTTCCAATGTAACAACGTGTCTAAACGACTTCATACTTCCAATGTAACAACGTGTCTAAACGACTTCATACTTCCAATGTAACAACGTGTCTAAACGACTTCATACTTCCAATGTAACAACGTATCTAAACGGCTTCTTACTTCCAATGTAACAACGTGTCTAAACGACTTCATACTTCCAACGTAACAACGTGTCTAAACGACTTCATACTTCCAATGTAACAACGTACCTAAACGACTTCATACTTCCAATGTAACATTCTTTATGTTATAAAGGTTTTTCTCAAACTAAATCCTCATTACTTTGCTGTCACAATGTCATAGGTTAGTTAAACGACTTCCAATGTAACAACGTATCTAAACGACTTCTAATGTAACAACGTATCTAAACGACTTCATACTTCCAATGTAACAACGTGTCTAAACGACTTCTTACTTCCAATGTAACACCGTGTCTAAACGACTTCTTACTTCCAATGTAACAACGTGTCTAAACGACTTCCAATGTAACAACGTATCTAAAGGACTTCATACACCCAATGTAACAACGTGTCTAAACAACTTCATACTTCCAATGTAACATTCTTTATGTTAAAAAAGTTTTTCTCAAACTAAATCCTCATTACTTTGGTGTCACAATGTCATAGGTTAGTTAAACGACTTCCAATGTAACAACGTATCTAAACGACTTCCAATGTAACAACATATCTAAACGACACTCAATGTAACAACGTGTCTAAACGACTTCCAATGTAACAACGTATCTAAACGACTTCATACTTCCAATGTAACACAGTGTCTAAACGACTTCTTACTTCCAATGTAACAACGTGTCTAAACGACTTCCAATGTAACAACGTATCTAAACGACTTCATACACCCAATGTAACAACGTGTCTAAACAACTTCATACTTCCAATGTAACATTCTTTATGTTAAAAAAGTTTTTCTCAAACTAAATCCTCATTACTTTGGTGTCACAATGTCATAGGTTAGTTAGATTTTCACTATAACATTAAATCTGATAAGTGCATGCGTCTCAATGGTACACTGGAGAGAAATGATATTCATTTAACATTAATTTAACTCCTCGACACAATGGACATTAAGATTTGTTTGCACTTGAAATCTTCTAGTTATTTAATTTCTCTTACATTGTCGGTTATCTAAACATATGAGGAAATATTTGTGTAAAACAGTTTTTCTGAGAATATAAATGCCACATTCATTAAGTCTGTTTGTTTTATCTATATTGACTCGTCATCTTGACCAAAAAAAAAATTAACAAAATAATGAAACCAGTTTGTGATAAAAATATTTGAACTAGTGATGAACTCAATCAATTTAAGTAGGTTTGCGTTGATGTTTCGGAATGTTTATCACAAATTGCCTTTTTACTTAAAAGTACGTCAGTGACTTAAAATGCAGAATGGGTATGTAAACAATTGTAAAAACGGCACATTTCCAAGTACAAACATTTGAACAGCTTTGATTATCTTCGATCACATAATAATGAACTGTCGGAAGAAGTCGGTCGTGTGTACATGAGAAATAAGTGTAAACAACAGCCATATAGGCGGCATATTCAAGCGAATCTCATTAGTAGAATCATTCATTAAGCGTCTGAATAAATTATATTAAAGATCAATGTGTTAAGAAGGTCAAAGGTCATCCTGTACGTCTGCTCAGACGTAATATCAGAAAAGGAACTATATAAAAATGGCAAAAAAAAGAGAGAGAAAACATTTCTTTCTGATTTACTGAGATTGAAAATTTTTAATGTTTCCATGCATTCGATTTTCAAATTTATCAACGACAAGAACTATTTTCACTTTGTGCTCAGGAAAGCAAATGATTTGTAGACTAAACACAGACTTAGCAGTCTCTAAGCAATTATAACTCTTCTTATTATGGCCGATTTGTAAGGTATACGTACTGTTTTATGTTTTAATATTTTTACATAAATTACGTACGTTATTGGTTGTGTTATGTTATAGCTTGAGGATAGTGTAATGCTCTCCATTAAAATTTGTAATTTAAAGTTTGAAATTCTATGATGAATATAACACCTAAAGTCCACTTGAAACTCAAGTACCATACAAAAAAATCGTAAATTTTTAACAAATTCATGCTACTAAGGTTAAAAATAAGATAAATAAAAATATAAGAAACCCGATAACCAGAAGGCTTTTGGAATATAGACATTCCATCTTTAGGGGTGAATTGGCAACGAGTGAAGTGTGATAGTTAGTGAAATGATCTGTTACGTCATAGGTATCTATAGCAGCTCACCATGACGACAGAGTAGCGTTCAAATAGCTTTCTGTGGGAATATTACAGGTGTGACTGGTTTCTGATGTTTGAAAAGACGAGAATAGAGCGAAAAATGAAGAGTGAGAAACATAATATTAAAAAAGTGAGAGAAGAACTGTAAAAAAGAAACTTTCAACAGTAATAAAAGAATAAAAATGGCACAAGATATACAAAGAGTACAAATAAATATTACAAATGCATTGTTAATTAGAATGAAATACAAATAAATCATTATAATGAAAAAACATTAACAATAAAAGTTTTACTATAGCATGATAATAAATTAATGAAGGTAAAATTAAAAATTAGGAACATCTTTTTCGTAGATGGCATTTCACCGACGCTGAATAGATTTTATTTCCGATTCGAAATCCCCTCTGCCAAAGTGGCTCAGTGGTAAGTCTGGAGGAAGATGTTAACTTGAACCTGTCCTTTAAAACCTAAATCTCGATAGATGGATAAGTGATGGTAAGTCTGAGGAGTCACGCCGCTAAAAACCGGATTTTCGTGCTCGTGGTGAGCACAGCACGGATAGTTAGCTCATTGTGTTGTGTTGCGCTTAACAGAAAACAAACAGACAAACAATTCGAAATCCTTCACGCCTCTACCATCTGCAATTTTCCAGCTGGTCCGAACATGACTGCGTGTTTGTCCTTTCCAAGTTCATGTTTTATGTGTTGGTTTCGGCGGGGTGTTGTAGATCGTACATATACGATTTCAATGAACAATTGTGATTATTCTGTAAGCACTACAACAGTCATCATGAGATCTAATTATGATTAACTCAACAGCAAGAGAGCAGTCACTAAAGGAAACATGTCTGCATTTTATTCCAAGCGAATAGCCATGAAAATATTTTTTTTTCATTGCCAAAGCCTTACAAATGACTAATCTGAAATCAGTGTTATTTGATAGCTGAATTCTGAAAAGAAAAGTGCCCTGATTCCTTTTGGACGAAGTGTCGGTATGGGACAAATATTTTACGTGAGACAAAAAATATATATAGTGCTATTATTCGTTTAAAAGATAACCTTATATAACTAATTAATTCTTTTTTTATTGAACAGAACTTGAATTGAACCTTTATAATTTTGCTAAATAGTCAATAGTTTATTTCAAAGGCAAACGGCCGGGTTCGAATCCCCGTCCTACCAAAACATGTTCGCCCTTTCAGCTGTGGGGGCGTTAAAATGTGACGGTCAATCCTACTATTCGTTGGTAAAAGATTAATACTAGAATAGCCGGTGATGACTAGCTGCCTTCTCTCTAGTCTTTCACTGCTAAATTAGGGACGGCTAGTGCAGATAGCCACCCAGCGCCAACTCTTGGGCTACTCTTTTACCAACGAATAGTGGGATTGACCGCACATTATAACGCCTCACGGCTGAAATGGCGAGCATGTTTGGTGTGATGGGGATTCGAACCCGCGACCCGCAGATTGCGAGTCGAGCGCCCTAACTACATAGCAATGCCAAGTCAAATAAATAGTTCTTGTGAACCATTTACGAACTCAACGTTTGCTAACACTTAGTACATAACATGGAGATTTTATGTCAGCAGCCTAAACTTGACTAATGACACAGAACTTGAGTACGTCACGATTTTGGAGACTCATCATGCTGTTACAGTTCATGTCGTCACTTCCTGTCGTGCTCTGTCTGACGACCGTGATCCAGTCAATAGTACGCAGCGTAGTTGCCATTGAAAACTGCTCTGTCGCAAGGCAATTCTGACTGATCAACTTTCAGTCACGTGTTCATGAATATTCAAATATTTTAGGACAGAAGTTTTAGAATCAAAAATGATTTTCTGGAGCCAAAATTATTTCAAAAAATCCTTAAAATTTTGTTTTTCCGATATGAAAAACTTGGCTCACGCAAATCAAATGATTCAGCAATACTAAAATCCAATAATTATAGGTAGTGCTCCAGTGCGCCTTTGGACACGTCTGAACATATCTTTATAACTTGAGTGTATGAATATTTTGCGTCAGAAAGGGCTGTTACATACCCATCCAAAAGCAATGAACTATCGGTGGCATTACGCTACTACACTACGCCAAACAATGTCAAAATGTCCATCGCGGTTTTGTGTCTGCTGTGGTTATCACATGACTTACCGAGTTGCGGATTTAAAATCGTTTGGATATAATGTATCGACCCCTTGTATTCCTGAGATTTATGTGTAATATACTAGTGATTAGTAGTTGAAAGTTTTAAGTGGCTTGAGTATATCATTCTGATTTTCCTAAATAAAATAATCAGCCCAATTTACAACAGAAGTGAAATTGGAT